AGCTTCCCTTTCCCGATCCCAGAGCCCCTACTCACGAGCACCGTCTCGCCACGCTGGCAAACCGGAACTCGATTCTTATTTTTTTAATGATAAAAAATTTTCTACAATTCTATCAGCAAGACTCAAATTTCCTAACCTCCAAAGACCGTATACTTTTTTTTTTTCCAAGTTTTTCTGGTGAATTGAGTGGTAGTTTACATGGGAGATCATTGGTTTTATACTCATCGTTTCATTTCGGAGACTACAACCTCCTCCGTGCATCATCATTCAACAGTGTTTGCTTCTCTTCCTTGTTTTTTTGGGGGGGTTGGGGGGGTGGAGGAATATATACAAAAATGCTCAGAAATATGTAATCATTTAAACAACCAAAGGGCACATTCTTTAAGCCTGTCTCCAGGCCGCCAGCACACAGCCTTTCTTTTTTCCATGAGTCTAGATTCCTCAGCTGCTCTCTCTCTCTCCATGTCCTCATATTTGCCTCCGCCTCTCATCTATCTATCTATATCTATCTATCTATCTATCTATCTATCTATCTATCTATCTATCTATCTATCTATATGTATATATTTAAAACTTTCTATTGTGAATTCGGTGAAGGTTTTACAGAACAGATCATCAGATTTACATTCAAGAAATATACTTCAGTTCATCTTAATGATTGCAATCTCTTTTATGTAACATTAGTTACCCACTTCTCCCTGTGATTCCTATTTCCATTCAACCTTCTTTTCCAACCCTTCTGAACTTAGTCCTTAAGTAAATATTGCCCTTTTGATATTGAATGGTTAACCATTCCTTGATGTGCATACCTCGTAAGTATCAGTATTCCCTACGTTGAGTATATATTTATTGGCTTTTTGGCCATTTGTATTTCTTTTTGATGAAATGTCCATTCAAGTCCTTTGCTCTTTTTGGGTGGGTTGTTTGTGCTAAACTGGAAGTTATTTATATATTCTGGAGATAACATTGGATATATGAGGGGCTTTAAAATGTTAGTGGAAATTAATTTATTTTTTATCTTTAATAAAGATAATTTATTATCTTCTCATTCCATTTTTCCATTAACTTTTGTAGCCCCCTTGGTTCTTTAAATTTTATTCCCAATGTGTAGGGTGTTGGAACTTTGTTCATAAAGTCCTTTGATGAACAAGATTTTAATTTTAATGAAGTTTGCTTTATCTGATTTTGTCTTGTTTTTCCTGTTTTTGGTGTCAGACCTAAAAACGCATTGCTGAAGACTAGGTTAGGTCCCTTCTTCTAAGAGTTTTATTTAGGTTCTTTTCCATTTTGAGTGAGCATTTGTATATGGTGTGAGGTATAGTTCTAAGTTCATTCGTTCACTTGTGATAAATCTAGCATTCCCAGCATTATTTATTAGAGTCTAATCTGTCCTTGGAGTCCTGGTGTGGCGCTGGGGGCTAATGCATCAGACAGTGAAGTCCTTGAACTGCAACGTCGTTGGTTCAAGCTTACCAGCTGCTCCTTAGAAACCCTATACAGGGTTGCTATGGGTCGGAATCGACTCAATGGCACTTAACAATCTTTCCTTGGAGTCCTGGTGTGGCGCTATGGGTTAATGTGTCAGACTTGCAAAGCCCTTTGAACTGCCAGCTCGGTGGTTCAAGCTCACCAGTAGCTCCTTGGAAGCCCTATACAGGGTTGCTGTGGGTCGGAACTGACTTGATGGTGCTTAACAACAACAACCATCTTTCCTCTCTGGATGGATTTAGCAAACTAGTTGGAAATCAATTGCCCATGGATATGTATGGGTTTATTTCTGTACTCTCTGTTTTATTGGTGCTTTTTGTTAAGGACGGGTAAGTCAGTACTGACTCATAGCAACCCTGTCTAGGGTTTCTTAGGCGCGACTGGTAAATTTGAACTGCTGACCTTGAGGTTTAAAACCAACCTTGCCGTCCAGTGAATTATACTGCAGTGCCATACATCTTTCATAATACTAGTTCCAGATATTTTTTTTTGGTGTCATCTGTTTCCAATTTGTACATGTCTTTAATGATACTGGTTACATACTCAGACACATTGTATCGCCCTTCTCACTATCTTACCTATATTGTTACACCATCACCATTGTTTGACTCTGCCCCTTACAGGTCTAGAGGTGCTTCAGATTAGCCTCTGCTAGTTTGAACTCCTATAGATAATTCTTATAGGAATGCGATGCTCAAAGCAGATATTATTGAGCTGAACTGTTTTGTAAAGTTTTGATTTAATACTGGGTTCATGGAATAGTTTTGGCTCAGGGTTTAAAGATTATTTCTGAAGCAGTGGATTTAGGGGTCTCCCAGTGTCACTGGACTTTTTGGGACCTCGTGAAGATTCATAAAAATTTAAGGATTGGTATTTTTGTTTCTATAAAGGCTATTGGACTTTTGGTGAATTTTGTGTTAAATCTAGAGATTCCTTTAAGTGTTATTAACATTGTAATACTAATTCTTCTGATCAGTGGCACTGAATGTCCTACCATTTGTTCAGTTTACAGTGTATAAGTCTTCGTTCAATTTGTTCCTAGGTATTTTATTCTTTTAGCTGCTTGTGTAAATGGAATTGTTTCTTTTTCTGATTGCTCATGGTTGATGTCTAAAAACCCAATTGGTTTTTGTGTAGACCTTGTATCCTGCTACTTTACTGAATTAATTCCCTTATTATCACTAGTAGCTTTCTTGGGAATTCTCTGGGGTGTTTTATATATAGGATGAGAGTCCTGGTGTGACGCTGTTGGGTTAGCCCTGGACTGTAGGATCAGTTTTAACTGCAAGGTCTGCATTTCAAACTCAAAAGCTGCTCCTTGGAAACCCTGTATAGGGTCACTATAAATCGGAACCAACTCCATGATGCTTAACAACAACATCATGTAGGGTTATGTCATCCACTAAAAGGGATAGTTTAATTTCATCCTTCCTGTTTTGGATATGCTTTATATGTTTGTTTGTTTGTTTTTTTTGGCTAAGACTAACAGTGGAGTCCCGGTTTGGTGCTATAAGGTAAGCACTTGACTGCTAACTGCTAGATCGGTGGTTCAAACCCATCAGCCGCTCCTCGGAAATCTTTGAGTTGGAACCAACTCAATGTCACTTAACAGTAAACCACAAGGCTTGCAATAAATAACAACATTGAATAAGACTGGTGAGAGTGGGCCTCCTAGTCTTGTTCCTGGTCTTAAAGGGAAAGCTCTGTCTTCATTGAGTATAATGATGACAAAAAACCTCAAACCAAATCCACTATCCTCTAGTGAATTCTAACTCAGAGTAGCCATTTAAGACAGAGTAGAATTGCTGTGTATGGTTTCCAAGACGAAATCTTTATGGGAGCAGACAGCCTCATCTTTCTCCCTCAGAGCAGGGGGGTGGGTTTGAACTGCCAATACTGGAGTTAGCCCAATGTTTAACCCACCATGCCACTAGGGTGCTTCGAGTATGATGATCGCTATGGATTTGTCATCAGTACTTTGTTTTATATTGAGGAATGTTCCTTCAGTTTCTGGCTTGTTGGGTATTTTTATCACAGAAGGGTGCTGAATTTTGTCAGATGTGTTTTCTGCATCTATTGAGATGACCATAGGTTCTTTTCTTTTGTTCTGTTACTGGAATGTTCTATTAATCACATTTACTGATTTTCTAATGTAAACTACCCTTGCATTCTTGGGATAAACTTTACTTGGTCATGGTGTGTCATTCATGTAACATAGTGTTGGAATTGATTTGCTAATACTTTATTGAGGATTTTTGTACCTATTTTCATGAGGGCTATTGGTCTGTAGTTTTCTTGGTCTGCTTAGCCTCATGGAAGGAGTTTTGCATTGAATCTCGAGGGTGCTTTAAGTAGTATTGACATTTTAATGATCCTGAGTCTTCTTTCCATTTCTATAGTTTTCAATGTACAAGTTTTTAAGTTTGTTAATTTAGCATTCGTTTAGTCATGCAGTTCTCGTAATGACCCTTTGTAAAGTTGGTAGTAATGGTCCCACTCTAGTTTCTGTTATTTGCCCTTTAACTGGCTTCATCCTGTTTTTATGCTGTTTATCTCTGTTCTGATCTTTGTTTTCTCTATCCTCTGCTTTGCTCTGTTGCTTGTCAAGTTGTAGTTAGGTTACAATTTGTGATCTTTCTAGATGGTCTTTCTATTGAAAGTGGTGTGTTGAAGTCTCCAGCCATTATTGTCGAAACTATTCTCTTTGGATCAGTGTTTGTTTTATATAATTTGGTGCTTTTAAGTTATAGCTTCTTGACCCTTTTATTATTGTGTAGTACCCTTTTTAGTCTCTTATAGCAGATTTTGACTTAGGATTTACGCTGTTTGATGGGAAAATCACTACCCTATGCTTTTGGTTACTATTTGCATGGAATGTTGCTTTTGAGTTTTTTTTTTTTTAATACCTTTTAATAAAAATATAGTTAGTGCTTTTATAATTTACTTCTATTTTTGGTTTTGATGCTTAGAAGAGGTCAGCTTTGAGTTAGAAAATGTGCTCATGTAGCAGGTGCCCACCCACCTATTGTGGTCCCCTCTGCTGTCCCCCTTTCCAGGTTTACAGCTTTTGAGGCAAATGTTGCTCTGAGGCCAGTCAGTGTTAGTGAGTGTGGAGACCAAGACAATCTTGCCATCGAAGCTTAGCAAAAGCTCACACTTTTGAGAAAATATACATGAAAGGAGACTGTATATGTACCTGGCACCAGTTGTATTTATGTTTACAGGGTTTCTGGCAGGAAGAGTGAAGGCAAAGAGCCCAGGCGTGCTGAAGAACCCAAAACTCGAAAGAAACCAGGGCCCAAACCAGGCTGGAAGAAAAAACTTCGGTGTGAGAGGTAAGAGGCTTTGGTGTGTTTGTGTAGGTATGGGGTGCACATATGCATGTGGGGGTGGTGTGGGTGCTTGGGGTAGCTCATGCATTCTTCTTGCCTTGCAGGGAGGAGCTTCCCACCATCTACAAGTGTCCTTACCAGGGCTGCACAGCCGTGTACAGGGGTGCCGATGGCATGAAGGTGAGGGGGGGCACCGTGGGGGTGGGGGTGAGGAGGGGCTGTGCTGGAGTGTGGCTTGAACCCAGGTGGCATTGTGTTTCTGCAGAACTGGGGACAGAATGCTAACTTACAAGTAGCATGGACCAGGCCGCTAGCTCAAGGGGGCAGCCAGTTGGGTCCATGGCTTGGGTCCCAACAAAGTGTGTGCTTGGCTCTGTCTTTCTGGGAGGGAGGGTTCTGGCCTGGGCAGTGCTTACAGCTCATGATCCTGCAGAAGCACATCAAGGAGCACCATGAGGAGGTCCGAGAGAGGCCCTGCCCACACCCCGGCTGCAACAAGGTGTTCATGATTGACCGATACCTGCAGCGCCACGTGAAGCTCATCCATACAGGTAACTCGACCCTCCATGCATTTCAGGAAGGCAGCCCAGGACATGCCCACTCCTGTATAGACCAGTGGCTACCTCAGCTTGGTGGGTGTGAACTCGTAGCTCTGGCCCTTCTAGTCCCAGTCTCTTCCCCACTTCTCTAGGTCACACCTGGCAGGGCATGCAGAGACCTGAAGGGCAACTCCCCCTTGAGGGGGATCTCTGGGAGGCAGTTATCTTTGAAAACATTTTTTGTGTCCTTTTTGGATTATAAAAAAGTAAAATACATGAACTTATAGAAATCTTAACGGGAAAAGTGTAAAGGAGACAGCAGGTGCCCCTCCCTCAGCCATATCCCTTTAGCCTGTTTTCTGTGCACACATCCATTTTACACCCATCTCAGTGCTGGGATGCACATATATTTGAGGAAGGAGGGCCATGTGCTGTCACCCCCACACTCCCAGAGGAGGCTGGGCACAGGCCCCTGAACTTTCATGCCCTCCCATTTAACCCTAAACAATGTAGTGCAGTGATTTACTATATAAGTTTTCCACTATTTTCTTTTTTACATGTCTATTTCTAAGGTTCGTTTATTTGTTAATTCATTCATTTCGTTACTGGGTTATATTTAACTGTCAGTCTTCCTAGCAGTTAAACCATTTTTTGGTCAACAAACACTTGTGTTAGTTCCAGGATTTTTATCTGGATGTGATTGTTGGTTTTTTGAAAATGTAAGACAGAACAGACTGTTAACCTTAGAAGGAAGAGCAGCTACATGCAGGTTTGGGAAATGAAGTCCATGCTGTCGAAAGAGCCTATGAACCCTGTTCAGGGAAGCCTCTGGGAGCAGGGTTTGTAGTTGGTCTGTGTATGTGTGTATGTGAATGTTTGGATTTTGCTTCCAAAGCATTTACCTACTTATACTCCCCTGGCAGCCCCCTACCTATTGTGGGCCTGGTTTCCTAAAGCATGGTGCTAGCTGTGACAGTCCACCATCTCTAAGCTATAAGACCCTTTAAGGGTGCCTGTCCAGGTTTATCTTTGGAAATAGGCTTTACATGCACTTAATTGACAGGGTGTCCCCGCTGTGTGCACTGTTTCAGGTGATAGAGAATCCTGAGTGAGGTGGTAACACCAGAGTCCCTTTTCCTCCGTAAAATAACCAGGAAGGCCCTTTGCACAGCCACATCTCCTCCTGTGTGAATGTGCTGAACTTGCTTTTCTCAGACATTCCCCACTCTCTCTCCCATGGTCCTCAGAGGTTCGGAACTACATCTGTGACGAGTGTGGACAGACCTTCAAGCAGCGCAAGCACCTCCTAGTACACCAGATGCGCCACTCGGGAGCCAAGCCCCTGCAGTGAGTGTGGGGGCAGGGCCCAGGGTCGAGTCAGGTGTGCGGGCATCTGCATGTGTGCCTCCTAGAGTAAGGGGCCCAGGCCTGGTGTGTGGTCATGTGGGCATGGAATTGTCTACACATTGTCCTCACTTGTCTTACTCACCTGTGCTCAGGTGTGAAGTCTGCGGGTTCCAGTGCAGGCAGCGAGCCTCCCTCAAGTACCACATGACCAAGCACAAGGCTGAGACCGAGCTGGACTTTGCCTGTGACCAGTGTGGCCGGCGTTTTGAGAAGGCCCACAACCTGAATGTCCACATGTCCATGGTGCACCCGCTGACACAAACCCAGGACAAGGCCAGGAGCCTGGAGACAGAGTCCCCTGGGTTGCTGGGTACCCCAGGGATGGAGGAGGGCCAGGCTGTAAAGCCCGAGCCCACCTGAGACCACCAGGTGGGACAATTCACCAGGGCTCTGTGGCATGAGGGTGGTCTCAGTCCTCAGATCAGCCCAGCACATCTCCCTTGAGTCCCCATTGCTATCCCCACAGCACACAGTATGGGTGGCTGGTGCCACGGCCATCAGCAGCGGGGAGCTCAGTAGGCAACTGTGAGCCCTTCTGGCTCCCTGGTGGGACCAGCGATTCTTTTCCTACAAACACCGAGCGCCTTGGAGCCAGCTCACATTTCCAATAATTGATTCCTCCTCCCGCTAAAGCAATCAGAGACATCTGTGATCCACTGTTTAGTGTAACAAGAACCTGAGGCTGTGCTCACATAAATTATTACATAGCAGTCAGGCTGGTGGGCAGCCCCACCCTCCCGAGGTCCAGTCAGAAGAGCCGGGGCTCCCGGTACAAGTCCAAGTCCAGGTTAGGTGGAGCCAGCTCCCGGCTCCGGAGGGCAGCGCTCACCTCTGGATCCAGGTCTTCGCTGGCAGCCAGCAGCTGCAAGGAAACACATGCTCAGCCATGTAGCTCCTGTAGGCCAGGCATGTTCAAGGGGTGGTTGATGTGTACCAGGTGTTAGAACCCTGCGATACCACAGATTTGGAAACAAACAAGGTAAGGGTGGTGCCGTGTTTACCTCCGTCACATCTAAGAAGCTCCTTTCTGGGCATCGAGGTATGAACCGCAGCAGAAAGAGACGAGCCTTTGAGATCAGCCCCAGTGGGTCGTCCTGGAGAGAGAATAGGCACAGAGCAGTCAAAACACAGGAGCTGGGACTTGCTCCTGCTCAGAGGCTGTCATGGGCAGCACTTGTGTCTGGGCTGACACACAGCATGCTGGCCACACCCTTCCTGATGGAAGGATGTCGGCAGCACCCATCCCCACGCTTGCCTGGTTCTGGTACTGCTGGCTCCGAGTTCGGAGGACATCCGTCTCCCCAGCCACAAACAGCCGGACCAGCTTCAGGTACATGTCAATGGCAATGCGCAGGAAGGCATCCTCCCTGATGATGGTGTCAGGGTCGAGGTGGGGGAGCAGGCTGAAGGTAAAGACGTGCATGATGTTTGATTAGGCAGTGGGTCACATACAGAGTGAAATCATGGGACTGAGAGGTTGGTTGAGTGGGCTCAGGATATTACCTGAAGAAGGCAAGCGGCAACAGCCTGATGTGCTGGTCAGAGGTCATGCGGAGCAGCAGCTGGCCCAGTTCAGCCCCTGAGACACGGGGACAAGGATATTTACTCAGCACCAGAGCTCCTGTCTGGTACATGGGGACACTGTGTGCTGTTGAGAGGCCTGTGTCCAGTTGCAGTGTGGGCCACCCTCCCAGGTCATGCCAGGAAAGGTGGGCACATGGGATCCCTGGGGTTTCTCATTATGTGCTCCAATAAATTCCTTTTTTCCCCTTTTGCTTAAATGAGTTTGTAATGAATTTGTCCTTGAGCTCACAGTGTGAGTCCAGGGAGCTTGTTCTTAACTATTTGGAAGTTGCTTCCAAACAGGATGATACAGAGTGGGGCAGAGCGTTGAGGGACACATGCCCGTGCTCTGCGAGCCTGCACTCTGACCTGCACATTGCCATGCTCTGTGACCATGTGGAGCCCTGACATCACTAGGGTGCTCACCGTTCTCTGTCAGCTGGAAGAGGATCAACCAGGACACCTGTCTCCTCTGCAGACACGCAAGGATCTCGGTGCAAACATCCAGTGTCTTGGTAGCGTCAACAGCTTCCTGGGACACAGCAGGGGGACACTGAGTACGTGTGAGGGCTGTGCATAGGAGACCCTCCCTCATGCTAGGTGCTACTGTCCTCTTCATTTGTGCCCCAGCTGAGGCAGAGGCTGCCATGTGGGGATGAGCAGAGAGGGATCCAAGTCTCACGTGGTGACACCCACCATGGGCCTGCTGGTGGGAGTGGGAAGGCACCTTCGAACAAGCCCTCAGAGAGGAAGGTGATGTGGTCTGAGGCCTGCCCTGCTGGGAACCCAGGACTCACATTCGGTGCTAGTTGTGCTGAGAGAAAGCCCATCATGGAGAAGAAGAGGAGGAAGAGCACCACCTGCTGACAAAACACAGCATGGCGTCACCTGTCCCCAGCACAATGATCCAGGTAATATGTCGCCTATGAGTGGGACCTCACATATATAAGTGGGCTCTTTCAGGAAGGAAAATATTCCAATTGCTTTTAAAGGTAGCATCCAATTCCTAGGAGCCTTATTTGTCTTTAAACAACTGAAAATACTCAATGGGAGACAGCTGTTGTCCAGTCAGCTACAGTCCCCACCCCCACCCCACCTGCCCGTTCTGTTTAACATCCTCTTCCCCAAGAGGCCAGGGCCCTCACAGCTCCTAGAGTTCCTTCATGTTTCAGTGGGCCCCAGCCTAGGATCCAGATGGCACCAGGCTCCCACGGGGATGTGGAGGCTGTTACTTTGGTGCTCAGAGCTGACCCCACCTCCTGTCACTGGGTAGAGCTGGGAATGGGTTCGGCATGGGGACCCCCAGCTCCTCCCTGGCCTTGTGAGGGTGAAATGGACTCAAGGATCCCAGAGCAGAAATGAGCATGCTCTCACCAGCAAGCCTGACAGTCAAAGTTATACTTAAAGCTCCCAAATACAGTTTTACTCTCAGTAATGTGACAAGACCCCAGACCCATTTTTCCTTGCTGGGTAACATGAGTGAACCAGCCTGCTGAGAAGGGACACTCAGAGTTTGTTCTTGCCTCTTCTCGCTGACAGTCCAGCCTCTTCAGCTCCCAGGTGCCCTGCTCCTTCAGAGCCTGCTGGAGGGTGAAGTGCAGGGAGACGGCAGAGAGCCAGGCAGGTCGGGTAGATGGGACAGGGGGTGCCGTGTCGAAGGAAAGGACACTTGGAAAATGAGAGGAACAAATGTGCTTATGAGCCTTGACTATAACCCGGACCAGTGTTGCCCAAGGCCTGGCACACCCAACTGTTAGCACCAGCAGGGTTCCTGAAAAGTCTGTGAGAGGGTCTTCAGGACAGAGACCCCACATGAGCCTGTTATAGGTTGAAGCTGGGCCCTCAACTCAACAGGAGTAGGGTCAACTGTGGTCAGACCAGGTTGAGTCTCTGCACTGTGGGCTCTGACAGGAAGGGGCTGACTTGGAGCATCCAACTGCCTTGGCCGCATGGGGCCCCAACAGCACTGCATTGGGGGGACTCTGCATGAGTCACAGAGGAGGCAGCTCTATGCTAAACAGCCAGTCTAAACCATTCAGGGAGTAAGGTGCCTTGTCACTGACCCAACAATTCCCGAGTAGGCCTCAGTGAATCCCAACTGACTGCCCCATCTGGTGCATGAAGCTCACCTCCTGGCCAGGTCCCGGGCCTCAGCCAGCTGCTGCAGTGCTCCGGGCAGTGGGCTCTGCACATGCCGCCTCCACTGGCACGTGAGCACTGGCTCCAGGCATGGCCACCACAGCTAAGGAGTGCAGACGTAACATCAACTAGAGTGACCAGGAAAATTCTGGCCAGCCATGCCAACCACAAATGCCTGCGTGGTGCCATTAGATCACTGACGTGAAATTCAGCATCACATTTATCTCCTTAAGGCCCACACATCTCTGCAGGGTACTCTGATCCTCTGATAGGGAAGATGCTGAATCTGAGGGTCATAGCCTTAGGAAACACCACCTGGCCCGGATTGGGATGTTTTTAGCCACAAGGACCTAGGCCACTGCTCAGAGTGGGCACTTTTAAATGAACAGCTCTCCTAGTGGCTTCCCCCACTCTGGGGCAGCCTTAGGAACGTGCCACAGTCCCTAGGACAATTGGAATGTTCTGCTCTGAGGGAAAGATGCCTCTGAAAGAAAAGTGCATGCTAAGCAGGTGACCACTAGGCTATTTGCCCTTCTCACAACCCTAAGCCCAGGATGCCAGGCAGAGGGCTGGGGGTGTGGTCTGAGCAGAAGGACTGGTGTTGGATCTGTCATGAGGAAGAGAAGCTTGGTCACTGCTGGTTCTCAGTGCATATGGAACTGGTGTATGAGCAAGTGAGTGAAGCCATAATGAATGAGCACCATAAACCTACATGCAGATCACAGTCCCCACCCAAGCCTGTGCGTTTCCTCTCCTGCCCAATTGGGAAGGTTCTATGATGGCCAGGTGTGGCAAGAAAGGAGGCTGGGGACTGAAGACTCCTGTTAACCTGTATTCTGACATGAACCACAGCAGGGACAAAGAAAAGTTACTGGGAGCTCCAGGTCATACCTGTCCGGGCCTTCGTGATGGGCAGGAGGCAGACGCCCCAGGCTTACCAAGGCAGAAGTCAGCATTATTGGGCACTCAGTCTGGCAGGCAGCAAGAGTCAGGTTGACCAGCAAGGAGGGGTCTTGGTCCAGTAAACAGGTGCTCAGGAGCCCCTAGGGGACAGTTTAGTAGGACTTAGCTGATGTACATGTAGGGAGGTCTAATGTCCACCTGACCTGCCCCCTCCTGGGACCCTGACACTTGTAACAGGGATCTGGGGTCTCCCAAATGGCTGCTAAGCAGGCAAGGGTGCAAGGAGGTGCTGAAAATAAAATGATCACCCGAAAGAAGTGGGCAGTGATGTCATGGGTCAGGGCAACTCCGTGGTAGCACAAGTTTCTCTGCAAAACAGAACCATGAAGTCAGTGAGGTCACGGTGGTTTCACTGTGGACGGAAGTGCTGTGCAGACTGGCCGGAGGTCCCACTGTTGGACCAGGTGCCTACCCCCCTGCCCTCCCTTCCTCCGTGCCCCTGACTTGGAGGAAGATGGGAGTGGACATGTGACTTGGGCATGAGGGCAGGTGATAAACACAGAGCACGATTGGCCGAGGTCCTGACCCTGTTTCTGAGGATGGCAACTGCCCCTCAACCCCTGCTCCTCTCCTCTTTACGACCAAAGGGAAGGGACTCAAAGATGACAAACAGCTTCTAAAGTCCTTGCCCTCCCAACTCTGCTTCTTCAGATGCCTCAGGCCATATTTGTGCATTTTAAGAAGCCAGCTATTTAGAACTCCATTGAGACTAGAAACCAATCCCTGTAATACATAGTGAGTGCTACCTCCCTGTCACTTCATGGCCATGACAGACTTGTGTCCCTGCTGGTATGTAAACCATGTACCCAAGATGGGCCTCCAGGTGACCCAGCAATTACAACTCAAGCAGTCTGTGAGGACATGAGCTGCTGGCTAACAACCTTTTCTTGTCCATTTTATTTCCAGTCCTCACTCAGGAATTCCTCCAGGGAATTTCCTGTCAGGAAAACATCCAGGGACCTGCCACCCTACACTCCCTGGCCTCCCCCGCTGCATGGACCATGAAGCACTCACCAGCTCCGAGTTGACAAAGTGCAAGAACTCATGGCAGTCCACGGCTGCTGGTTGCCCCTGGAGGCTGGCAAAGAGCAGGGTAGGAGGCAGATTCAAGAGGATCCTGGGAAGGAAGGGGCAGTCCGTAGGGGGCGCCTGGGCTGCTTTCCTCCTTGACTGCAGCCCCCCTTCCCCCCCAAGGGTGTCCAGTGGGAGTAGTGGGTTTGGCTCACTTTAGGCACTTAAGAGTATGTGCTGGCAAACAATTTGAGCACTGTGTGCATGCCACGTTAGTGGCTGTGCCACGTGTGACCACGCTGCCTGTGCTAGACTAGCTCAGTGACAGGAAGCTGGAATCCCTTCTCAGTCTTTCCTATAGATATAGCTGCAGCAGACATCTACACATACACACATGCTTTTCCTTCTTTTGATACAAGTTCCTTAGGACAACCCTTCAGTAGTTGGCCAGAGTTCTAACACTCTGACGCTGTAGACATGGAACGGCTGGAGATGAGCAGGAACACAGATCTGACAGGAAGAAATCTGACTGACCATGTCCACCCTCCCTGCCAGTACCATCTTTGTAGGAGCAGCTCCCGCTGTCTTAGCAGGCCAGCAGCCACTGTGGACAGGCCTCCCAGTGCCTGCAGCCGCCTGTGGAAAATCGCAAAGAGGAAGTGTCCCTGAACAGCAGTGGCCCTCCTGGCCTGCTCCAGCTCCAGCTCCGTAACCATTTCCTGAAAAAGAGCGGAGAGTGAGGTTTCTCTAAACCCAGCAGTGCTCGTACCAGCACACAGGCACTTGACTTTCGTTGTTAAGTGCCATCAAGTCGGTTCTGACTCACGGCGAACCTGTGTAGTTTCTGAGGAGTGACTGGTGAGTCTGAACCACTGACCTTGTGGTTCAAACCGACCTTATGGTCAAGTGCTTCTCCCACATCACCACCCCAGGACTTCTGAAGACCACTAACAGGGCACTAAACAACCTTTCTTGGACACTGTTTAAAACCTACAACATCTATAAAAAAGAAAGCAAGGAAAACTAACCTAGCCTTTGCCTGGATTCACTTACCACCACATTCTAGTCCGACTGCCTTATCATTTAGTAACCCTCTTTACATGTGTGTACATGTCTTTGAGAGTACACAAGCATGTTCATGCACACGTGTGTGCACATGAGTGTGTGTACACAGAGTGTGCATGGGAGTTTCCCTAAGAGTCATGGCCCTTAATATCCAAGCTCTCTGGATGTGTTTGCAGGATGAGACAAGAGCTCGTGACCACAGCTCATGGCTACGCTGTCACTAATAAAGCGATGCCTTTGCTCTGCTTCAGCATCATCCCCCAAGACAAGCCTGGCCGCCTCTCATCAGGAACACTGAGCTGTGTCTGTCTTCACAACATGGATATCTTTGAAAGAAATAAATGTGGCTTCAATGTCAAATGTACTCAAAATAACTACGACTTGCATCCTGGAGCTGAGCTCAGACCTGTGTCCTGCTGGGCTCAGTGTTTTAATGATGTTCTCTCCTCAGTCACTGTGGATATCACAAAGAGCTCTGAGATCATGGGACCATTTCCCTGCATTTCCCCTGCCCTTCTGGACTGTCCAGCATGGAGGCTGTGGAGGACCCAGGGGACACCTAGGTACTTCTGGGAGCCAACCACACAGTAGCTTTTAGAAACTCCCATGGAGCTTCCTGTGTGCTGCTACAGCTTTCATCCTGACAGTCTAAGGCACTGTTATATGTTGTTCACTTGGAAATGTCAGCCACCACTTGTCACAGGTGGAGTCAGGCTATTTTGACGAGTAGACACAGGTCTCACTGAGATGTGATGTTTGAATGCAGCCTGGAGGCTGTGAGGGTCTGTGTTGGGGTAGAGAGACCTCCTGATGGCTTGTATGCACATAGCAGGCACGCTCACATGTCTGATGAACAGTGTATGTGCACAGGTCACCTATACAATCCAGACAAGACAAACGCTGCGTCCTATCTGACCTTCTGCTGCCCCACCCTGGTCAGCGGCTCCTTTGTGGGATGTTTTCCTTATTTACAAAACACCTCAACAGTGTCTCTCTCTCATGCCCCACATTTCCTCAGCAGAGGAACAGCAGCACCACCCTGAGTCCTGGCCCAGCCTCACGCCTTCATCACCCCGAGTGCCAGGTGCCGCGGGCAGTCTGACTACAGATGGATGGCCACGCTTATGTCCATGTAGAGGAAGCAGTTTCCACGCCTCCATGTCTGCCTCAGTGAGAAAGGCCCAGCAACTGTGCCAGGTAGGAGGGCAATTAACACCCTTCCCCAGAGCCTGACCTCCAGCTGGTGCAGCTGAGAATCAGCAGGCAGAAGGCTGCCCTAATTCTGTGACTGCAGCTGGCTTTTGTGTTCCAAGTGTGGGGAGGGCTGAGCTGTCACGGCTCTGGGTTTTGTATTTTGAGGTGTTCACACAGGAATGAGTTCAGAGCACACTGACTTGATCTTCACAGGGGAGTTAGGAGTCTTGATTACACTTGGCTGTGTGGGGACCTGTTCTGGAAATTTACAAGTATTAAGAGGGTCCATGACGCAGGAGTCCTCTAACTCACCTGCAATCTGGAAAGAATATCCCGGTTTAACGTGCAGCCTCCAGGGACCACGTCAGAATTCTCCAGGTGGTTACTGCTCTGTGAGCTGGAATGAAAACAGAAATCCTCCTGAGTATCTCAGCCCCACTGGGTTTCCGGTTCTTTCCTGCTGTCCTGTTCACTCCTGCAGTCACACCCCGGGTGGCTCTGGTGGCCACTGTATTTCAAGGGTGCTTCTGACACAAGAATCAAATGACAACACAAGCCTCAACAAAACACCAGTGAATTGAATCTACCAACATACAAAAGGAGTTAGTTACCAAACCGTGACCAAGTGGGATTTGTCCCAGGTGTGCAAGGTGGTACAGTATAAACCCAATCAATGTGATGCATTTCTCAATGGAGAGTCTGAGCACTTTCCCTCTAAGGAATGAGAAAAAGATGCCCAGTCTCCGGGTCTGGGGCCGACTGCATCTCCACATGTAAATGAAGGAAGGTGGACCCCCTGCTTCATACCTTATACAAAAATGGACTCAAAATGAAAGATCTAATTCTAAGAGCTAAAATTATCAATTGTAAGTGATAACTGGAGGCAATTCTTAATAACCTTGGATTTGGCGATGGATATTACATACAACAACAAAAGCGAAAAACTGGATTTCTTTCCAGTGTCAAGTTGTTTGCCCTTGTCCTTCATGCCTCCCTATCCACACCTCTCTCCCCTCCTTGCAACTCAACAGTCCAGCATAATTTTCTCAGAGCTCAAGTCCCCTATACCCAGTTTCTACTATATATATATCCCTATTCCTTCCTGGACCCTGCGTGGACACTTCCTCACACCTGCTCTGTCCTTTCATGCTACCCTGACCACAGATGTATTCCCGTGTCCCAGGACCAAGGTTCTGGTGCATCTCCACCGGAGACAGTGTAGACCTGTAGGCATGATGTGCTCAGCTGTGCCAGACCCCCCAACAGGCACTGACCTCTGGCAGAAGTCTATCAGCTCTTCGGTGAGGACAATGCAGGCTGCCTTCAGGTCTCCACCACAGCCCCCTGTGGCTGTGGGCTTGGGCAAGAATTGCTGGTGAATCGCCCATTGGTGGAAGTCTCTCCTACAACAAAGAACACTGAGGCCCAGGCTTCCCCAAACCAGGTGAGGCCCAGGCTGGTCAGGAGCTTCAGAGCAGGGGTGAGGCCTCACAGTCCAGTTTGCAGAGTGACCTCACCACAAGCAAAAGCACACATCACCCACAAGGCCGACCACCAGGCCCATGGCTGCTGAGGAGGCTGATGGAACTTGGGGAATGGGACCCCCTTACTAACCCTTCCTGTCCTGGAAAATCCAAACCCTAAAGGTGTGGTACTGTGGGCTAAAGCACTGGACTGCAAAGTCATTTTGAACCACACAGCAGTTCAAACTCACCAGTTGCTCCTTGGAAACACTATACAGAGTTGCTCTGAGTTACAACCAACTCGACAGCACTTAACAAAAACAACCCTAAAGATGAGGAGTGAGGCAAGCAGCTACGGAAGGAAAACCAAGCCATGAGCGTGTGAAGAACACTCTCCCAGGTCTCGAACCTAACCCTGAGAAGCTGCAGCATCTCCTGTAGGAATAAGCAACTTTTCCCCTTCCTTAGATCCCTACGGATGTTCTGCTTGTCAGGAGCCCAACATCACAAAGGAGGCCCTCCCTTCTGTGGGCTCTCTGGGATGCTAAAGGGCTCTTACATTTCCCCAAAACCTTCAACAAACTGCCTGCCCTCATGGGGCTCTGTGCATGGCAAATGGTGCCCTGGTCTCTCCTGACCACCTCCATGACCAGCTCTGGACCACAAGGGCCCAGCATCCTGACCTACATGCCCCCCCCCCCCCCCCAGTGCTTCCATCCCAGCTGGCCTTCTCCCACAACTCCGTTCCTTTGTCACCAGCACTGGTGCCCAGGCACACATAGAGCCCCAATGGCAGAACCCCTCCCCACACCACGTCTCATCTCTATGGTCCTGCCACTTTCTGCCACATGGTCTGACCTCTCCAGTTCGTGTCACCCCCAGCCCCCTAGTGTGTGTGTGGAGACCCTAATGAGTGCCCTGGCATGGGCCTCCATGTGGCAGAATCTTGTCACATTCATGCTACATCACCAGCTTATAGGACATTCCAGAACAGTGTGTGCCACACAGCAGGACCCCAACAAAGTAACTAATAAGTGAATGAAATTGTGCTCAAAGGTCACCTGAGAAGACAGACTTGAGGACATTCTAAACACTTACCTCTCTGCATCTGAAAGAATATCAGCTTCAGGCTGAATGCCAAGTTCCAACTGCAGCCAGTCTCTGTAAGTTAACTGACAGGAAACAACATAATACAAGGGTGAGGGCCAACTACATCGCCACTCTGGACTCTTGGCAGCGATGGACACACCTACTCTTCTGTGGAGTTCATAACTGTTGTTAAGTGCCATCAAGTCGGTTCCGACTCACAGCAAAGCTGTACACAAGTTTCCAAGGAGTGGCTGGTGAGTTTGAACCGTTGACTCTGCAGGTTAAATGACTTTGCAGTCTGGTGCATTAACCCACATCACCACACCAGGACTCCCTATTCATAATTAGCAATCAAAAAAATGGAAAAAATTTAGTAAAACAATCTTGGGTTTTTTACAAAAAAAAAAAACCCAACACCAAACCAGCAAGCAAACAAACATACTAGGAAATATGCTAAAATTTAGCAAAACAAGAGAGGAGTATCATGCGGGTATGGTAGAAACACTGGGGCAATATTGTTGGTAAGGAAACATTGGGAGGGGCACTGGACGGAACGCTGACAACGATGTGGTTACATTACTGGGGAGTTTATGGGGATGTTGATGGGGATGCTGGCAGGCTCTGCACTGGTACAGAGCAATCCCACAGCATGACTCAGAGCTGAGCTCCCACTCAAGAGACTCTTGTTGTCACCCTTGAAAATTCCTGTAAACATCACTCTTACAGGAAGTGTGCAAAGCACAGACGTGCCTGCCCTTTCTCACAGCATAGGAAGCTGTGATCATGCAGAGTCCAACTGTAACGTGAAAGAAGATTTCTGTGTTGTTTCTCAAGTGTCCCAACAGATCCTTCCTCTCCTGACCTCACACTTGCCCCAGGACACATGGAGCTCTCTGATACAATCCTGAGTGCAACCAAGGCATAAAGCACAGAAGGGGAGTGAAGCCTCACCTGAAACCCCTCCTCCTTCATCAGTTCCTGGAACGTCCCGTGTCTCCACAGACAGAGAGTGGCCCTCTTCCAGTCTTCGGGGAGCAGGCAGAGGGGCCTCCAGGGAATGTCCCCTACAACATCTACACAGCAGGGCTCACGGGCTTCAGAGAACAGTCTCAACACAACAAACTGGAACTGAAAAAAGCCATGTTCCCCATCAGACTTAGGAAATACTCTGGAGAAACATCGTCCGTGGCCCCTGTGCAGGGGATGGCACTGCCTGCGATGTATACGTCTGACATGTATCAGAGAGGAGCTCCAACATCGAGACCATGGAAGCACACCTGCCTCGCTAGACCTCTGCTAATTCTAGCCTCTTCGTGTTAGCATTCTGCCTGTGTGATAAAGCATCTTGCCAGCAGCCGCTCTGTACCAGTTATGGGCGTTCTTCTTTGCCCCATGCTTAATGAGCACATTGGGGCGTGAGATGGGCTGACGTGACCATATCTCCCCAACAGAAGCTGAGCCAGTGCTGACAAGGCAACCAACATCCTCCAAGTGCTGTTTTTGACCCAAGAAAGGTACCTACCTTGGGGCATGGTGATGCTGGACCCTGCTGTTTAAAGGAGGCCACAGTAACTGTGAGGTGTGGCTGGCAGACAGTGATGAGCACAGAGCCTAACATGCCAGGACTCCATTCCTGGAGCTCTTCCAAGGTGGGCACCTGGCTCCAAACTCCTCAGCACATTGGAGCACCTGCTTCTGCCAGGCTGTATAGGTATGTCCATACCCTGGGAGCCACCCCAGATTCTGACCTAATCGGGGCAGGCCAAGGATCCTGCCTTCTAAAAGGCTCTCCATCAGCCCCCATGTAACGGGAATAATACCAGTTTGTACAGTTCAGGAGTCCTAATCCTCCCCTGTACAGTCAGAGTTCTTAACACTTCACCTTTAAACTTCCCTGTTGGCGTAACATGTTCAGTCCAGGAGAGGAACTCTTCTTCAGTCTAGAGACTCTTTATAAACACTTGTCTCTGATTTGTCTATTTTGTAAACATCAGTATGTAGTGTTTGTACTGGTGTGCCACTGTAGGTCAGCAATTCACACCCACCAGCTGCTCCTCAGAAACCCTGTACAGGATCACTATAAACCAGCTTGACAACACCTAACAACAACAGCAATGTAGAGACCTAATGTGGTGCCGTAGGATAAGCACTGGACTGCAAACAGCAAGGCTGGCAGTTCAAACCCACCAGCTGCTCCTGGGAAACCCTGTACAGTATCACTATGAAATGGCACCGACCCACCACCACCACCAGTATTTGTTCTATCACTGCGGCCGCCAGCTACAGAAGAGGAAATGGCACTGAATGGACCTACCTTCTTCATGAGGCCTGGAGAGCAACAGCTGGGTGCAGCGGCACAGGACTCTGGGGGAGACTTGCACAAGGCGTAAGAAATGGCTGCTGTACAAAACCTGGAGAAGAGGAGGAACCGGTGTACAGGCCTGACCCATGTTAGGAACAGGCGGAGGGACAGTGCCATCTGAACTTCAAAAGCCAACCCTAACCCCAACTAGTCCTCACATCAGTGAGTCCACTAGGCCTCGTCCTGGCACACTCAGGTGTGGGGACATGTTGGCTGACAGGTAAAGGCTGCATGTGAGGTGTGACAACATTTAGAAACAAAGTGAAATCAGAGATGGGGCTGAGGAACAGGGATGAGGACTGTCATGCGAGCCAGTGCACATTGCTTGTTCACCTGCGTCAGCACAGCCATTGCCTCACGTGACCAATCTGCAGCACTAGAGGAAAACAGGCTGAGACACCAAGAGACATGGTGTGTGAGGAGGTGACCGAGCCCACGGCAGCCTAGCCTTTCACACCCGGCTATTCCACAGCCAGACCCAGACCCAGACCCAGACCACCGCAGGATCACAGGGGTACTGGTGGCCACTAGGATGTTGAAAAGGTTCTCAATGAAGTGGACAGTGTTTACAGAACACTGCTGAGTTCAGAAAAGGTATACAGGATCTCGTCTTCATAAATTAAGACCACCACTGCACACAGACCCACACACTGCACACACACACTCAGTAAGAATCCTGGAAGAGGCATACACAGCCAGTTCTGGGTGGACAGCTCCTCTAACACTGCTCAGAGTGCAGTTGTCCTGTGAGCAGCGCAGTGGTCACTGCAGGCAGGAAACCCACCTTGCACAGAAGAGCAGGGACTTGCGGGTCCTGCAGGGCAAAAGGGTGTCCAGGAAGGCGACCAGAGAGAGGCCTTGAGTGGAGGTGGGTGGGCCCAGGTCCACATGTGGTAGCACCAGCCCTGACGCACCCAAGTGAATGACCAGTGCAGCTAGCCCCACCACATGGGGGGCGCTCAGGTGAGGTCCCTGGGGTGGACAGAGAAGGCATGCCAGGAGAGGGGGACCAGGCACCCCACAGCTGCTGCCTCCCACTGGAGACCACCAGGGAGAACTTGGGTTCACCCTGGAGATGTGATGCCCTCTCCAGAGCAGTGCCGAACCAGCTCCTCAACACACTGGTCAACCCTCCACCCCTTGGCCGAGGGCATGTACACAGGAGGGCGTACTTGGTGGAGCAGCAGTTGGCACAGGCGTGTCAGCACTGCAGGTAGGAGCATGTGTCCACACAGCATCCTCACAAAGAGTTCAGCCCAGGGGCCCTGCCTGAGAGAGTGAGCACTGTGAGCCAGAGGGACTAGGGACACCGTCGGGAGGGCAATGGATGTGTAGGTGCATCATCCTGGAAACAGGGCAAGCCCCAGCCAAAGCTCTGAGCAGAAGCAAAGACCCGACCCTGAGAATCTGCCACGTGTTTTACCTCTGTGGTGGGGTAAAGCTGGAGGCGGCCATGAGGCTCTGGCAGAAGCAGGTGAGCAAGAGGTCCACGACCTAGAATGAGACAAGGACAGTGTTAGGGTGTCTCACAGAACAGGCCCGGCCTCGCCTGATGCTGAGTGCTGTCAGCTTCATAAAAACACGGCCACCCTGCCGGCAAACGCCCACCTCCATGCACATATAGCTCACTCGCAAAGCAAAGGCAAACCAGGACGCCTCTGTACATGCCCACCACACCCCAACCCTACAGACACCTCCTGCTCTGGCTGGTCGAGCTCTGGAGTGAGAACATCAAGCTGGATCTTTGCCACCTTCACACCATCCTCACCGTGGCCCAGGACAGCGTGCAGCCTCTCTGTGATGATGGCGATGTGGGCAGACACAACTGCAAACGAACAGACAGCTTGGGGCGGGGGTCATGTCGGCTGCTGACAGTGCAGCCGAGCCACCTGTTCCATGTGGACCCCACAGGCCGGCCCCTCGGATGGCACCCGGCCTATGAGAGCACTGGGATGCAGACGATTACCCTGTGGTCATGCCCCCAGCACCATACAGACTGATCAGCCACACTGAGGCAGCAGGGGACGCATACCAGTCACAGTACTGATAGGCAGGAACCCAAGCGACCACTCAATGCTATGCAGACCCCACACCCTGATGGAGGGAGGTACCCAGCCTGCAGCATCCTCACCATCGTGCTGTGTAGGGTCCACCATCGAGGCTCTGAGTGCATGCAGCGCAGCCTTGAGTGCGCCCAGGGCTCCATCGGCATATCCAGGCTCAGCTTTCTCCACAGCGCCTGAATAGGAGACCCAGGGACACCATCACATGCAGAGCACCGTGGACAGCTCTCGGCCCTCCGTACTGCTGGCCATCACCGGGGCCTCCAGGGGTGGTGAGAGCCCTTTTCTGAGCTATTCCAGCAGAGGATATTTATGAGCAGTAAGAGGGAAAGGTACTCCCAGGGTACCTCTAACACTAGGCACCAACCCTGTCTCCCCAACAGGTAACAGGAGCCAGAGGAAGAGCCAGAGGGGACGGTGCCACTTCCTGGCCCTCTGCAACACTCCTAGCTTTTGGAAGAAAGCAACAAGGCACGCACTCTCAAACAGACGTGCCGGCACCTTCACACCTTCAAGGGAGTCTATGTTCCAACAAGGAGGAGGCACTGAAGATTCATGAAGCCCAAGTTCTGGTTCTGAAGCCTCTCACAGGGGTTCAACCAGAGGAAGCAGCTACTTAAAGCCCTAGCGAGTAAACTATTAGAAAACTCTGTTGTTGTGAAGTGCCCTCAAGTTGGTTCTGAATCAAACTGTGTAGGGTTTCTGAGGAGCAGCTGGTGGGTTTAAACTGCCAACTTTAAGGTTAGCAGTCCAGTGCTTACTCAACATCGCCGCACCAGGACTCAGACTCCAGGAAGCAGTTTAGAAAGCCCAAGCTGAACCCTGCGATAGGACGGCCTGTGTGGAGGGAGAGGGGCATGTGGTCAAGGGCAGACAGTCCTGGAGGACGAGAGCTCATGCCTCACTGACTCAGTCCAGCACCCTCGAGCCACCTTGTGCTGGTGCAAACTTCTCTTCTCATGTCTTCTGTCCCCACGCCTCCTGTTCTGTCACCTGCCCCCAAGACTACCTTTGCTTAACTACAAGAAAGGAATCTCAGCAGAAACAGCAAGAAAAGGGGTCGCGTGGCCAAGGCGTCTCAGCAGACCCCGGCCCTGCAGCTGTGGGGAAGTAGGACTCAAATAAGCAGACATGGTGGCAATGCAGACGGACAAGGCCTGCCATGACCAGCTCTCCCCATGCCCTTGTTACCAAGGAGGGCTAAGGGAGAAAGGAGGGCAGCGGGATCCCCAATGATAGTCCACACTGTTGCTCGAACCCCCCAGCCCACTGACTTAGTTTCATAGACCCAAGCTCCATCTGCATCTCTAGTTCCTAGAAACAGAAAACCCCCAAATACACACTCCAGTCTCAGACTGTCTAACAGCCATGCCGCACATCCTTCCTGCAGCAGCTACGCAGTTGGCTATAGAAGGGTATAACAAGCCAGGCAGACAAAATGATGGCACAGCCGGCAGTGATAATGCACACGGGATGTCCTCAGGGCAGTGCCGAGTCAGCCAGCCCATGGGTCACCACGGTGCAGGCCTGTCCCAGCATGATGGAGGAACCACACCTGGCCAGTGCAATGGCCCAGCATGGTCAACGTGATTGCTAGATCCAGGGAAACCCAGTGTGACCGTGTCATCTTGGGAGACCAGAGAGGCCCGTGATCAGGAAGAGGGAAGGCACATGTGCAGGGACTGAGCTGACCCTCCAGCGACCTTACTTTCTGGTTTCTTCTCTTCAGCAGCAGAGCAGGCTTGGCGGTAGTCCGAATACACTGACAGAGGAATTTTATCCGCTCTGCATCAGAAAGAAACATGAAAATCACGTCAGCTCAACTGTGACCCAAATTAATTGTTTTAAGCTTACAACTCAAAAACCATTAAAAAATCAAAGTAAACGATACAGAGTTCAAATAAGTTATCCAACACTGAGAACAGTATGGTTCTGTTTTCGGGAAAAACACGCCATTATACGTGGCTACGTTTTAAACAGCACTTGGTGTTTGTTAATAGGGTATCTGTCACTCATGAAGAACTTCAAGGCCACACCATAAAATGCCGACATGGGTTAGCTCTGGGTGGTGAGGCGAAAAACTGTTTTTACTTCCTTTGTTCGATTTTCAGTAATTTCCAAACTGTAACAACAAACTTAAATTAACTATTAACAAATGATCTTAAGACAAACATCCAGTCAATTCCATGAAAAGAATCTGTAAGGAGGTCCTGCTAACGCCATCTGAGCGATGCAGCACCAGCTCGGCAAGGACCCTGCACGGCTGGCCAGGTCCGAGGGACCATCACTCCATCAGCACACAAGGTCTTCAGATGGGCCTGTACACCAGGACCCGGAGGACGCACGTTCCAACCACAGATTGGGCTCCACTCCATTCTGACTCAGAGCCCTGAGAGGGACCCGAGAAGAACCTTCCCCAGTGGCCTCTGAGCCGCTATTTATGGCTACACACACAATGACGGCATTCTAACTGCTAGGATGCAGTTAGGACCTCAGGAGGGCTGTGGCCCATGTACCTCTTCAGGGACTCGATGAAGGTCACACGGGGGTCAGGGATCTTGGGCAGCTGTGAGGAGAGGAAAACAGCTGAGGCTCCACACAGGACATGAGACTCCACACTTTTCATGAGGCCATGCACTTTAGGAGCCGCATACTGACCACACGCGGTGTGAGCAGGGCGGGGAGGAAGCGGCTCAGGTAGTAGGGTCTCCTGAATATGCTGTAACAGAGGAATACGCCGTCAGACGCGCATGCTCCGGGACCCAGGAGCACTACAGACGGGGCAGCAGGCCAACCTCCCGATCCACTGTTTGGACAGCACAGTGACGGTAGTGTGCCACTGTTCTAGGGCATGTCATCAAAGAGGAGTCTATGCCTGCTCTGTAACCCAACTTGCTCGGCACCTCCCCAGCTTACGACCAGGTTTGCACTCTCGTTCTGCATCTAGCAAGAGCCACAGGTTACTGGGGAACGGCTCTTCATGTCCTGGGACAGGGATCACTTCCGATTCATCAACATCAGGATCTTAAAAGGCTTGCCCTACCCAGGTAGCAAGCAGGGTTCCAAGTGTTTTGGGGATCAAACCAAATTCATAGAAATGCTATTGTTTGTTCCCTATGGTGGCCCCAGATAGGTCCCGTACAGAATCAATAAAATTGTTACTCTACATGGGCCTGACCTTTGTCAAGGCAAAAGAGCTGCGGGGCATGTGTCAGAAGGGCCCCCAGACTGTTCTGGAAGATAATGTCTCACAGGTTCTTAGCCTCCAGCCCAGCAGAGACACAGGACCCTCCTACAAGTGTTTCATGGGCCAAGAACCCCCCTCCAAACACTGCAGCAGATCATGCAACCACTGCTCCGGCGCCTGTAGTGAGTGCCCACCTGGCCTCCATCACGGTGGATGGGATCCTTCCTGTGTGTGTGAATACCTCGAGAGCCTTCTCCACGTCCTGCAGCGCCTGGCTGTGGGGCTGCCAGAGGCAGGGAGGAGAAGGGACAGAAGGAGGGGTTAGCAGAACACCTCTGTATGCTCTTGCCTCACCCTGGAGACCAGCACTGCCCCCTGCCCGCCCCTTGGGCACCACTGTGCCCGTGGTTCTGCTGGTAAGCTGAAGGCCAGTTCGTACCCCCACCCAGCTCTAGACTCCCTTCTCGTCTCCTTTCTCTCCCTGGATAGCAAAGCCCGAATCAAAGATTCTAGGTAGGAGGGAAAGAGATTCAAAACAGCTGTGAAACGGAACAGCATTTAACCAAAAAGCAGCAATAAATTCGGCACTGTGAGGGCTTTTCAGTGGTTTCAACATTAAGGTAAAAAGTCCTCGAAAACGACAAAATGTCATTTCTCCACAACGTGGTTCGTAAACACAGCTGACATCATCCCTGTCCTTCCGACCCTGCAAACCAGAGTCTCTGAAGGTCACAGATCTGAACAGGAAGCACACCGGGAACAACAGTGATCAAGTGGGCAGTCAGGGCATAAGCAGCAGGATGCCCGTCACCAGGACATCAACACAGGTCCAAGCATCCACCTCACATCCAGAGGACAGGTTCACCTGTGAGGTTCCTGCTGCTGACAGGTCCTCATACAGCCCCATGTCTTCTATGGAAACCTTTGGAGGAAACAGAAAGGGGTGTGAACACACAAGGGTAGCTGTCGGCAGACCCCGTCCAGGATGTCTGACTTGCCTTGAGGTCAGCCAGTCGTGTCCGGGCCAGCGTGACGTAGTCAGCGAGCAGTGGACGCAGTCGCTCTGGGACCAGAGGCGGGTGGAGAACATGGACCTGGGAGAGGACGCTGGAGGTGAGGGCTGGACTCCCCAGTCCCAGCTTACCAAGACGCAGAGGGCAGGATGTGACACCGAAACCCAGCAAGTACATCAAGCAGGCAGTGCTTACAAGGGAGCCCCACCAGGAAGTGCTGACCCACCAGGAGAGGCATCCAGGCCAACTCCTAGTGTCTGACCTTGGAAGGACAACAGAATCAATGACAAAAAAGGTGCTAACTCCTGAAGGCTGTTCTGAGTGGAGTTTGAGGTCACAAAGACTGAAATGATACACTGGGGAGAGGAGAGGGCTGAGATGGAGGGGGTACGAAGACAGATGCAGAGATGGGCCTGGCAGCTGGGACTCATCTTTCCAATTCTGCTCCATACACACGGAGACGCTGTGTTTAGGGACAAAACCGGGTCACGTCACATGAGCTGTTTAGGGTTCAGAGCTGCTGCTTCCTGCTCTCTGGCACGCGGACTGTTGTGATTTTCTCGAGGGGGGCGGCGTCTCTGCGTCCCACAGACACCTACCTGCAGTGCTTCCCTGTATAAGCGGAACTGCCACAGGGCCAGGGGGCTGAGGCCGGTCAGACTCAAGGCCCCTCACCTTCAGGTACTGGGGGTCCTCAAAAGGCACGAGATCCGACAGGAACGTGAAGAGGAACAGCAGAGACTTCTTGCTGCGGCTGTGGGGGCCACGGGCACTACCAAAGGAGGCCTGGAGGGAATGTGAGGGTGAGGTCGGTGGTGACCCTACGACCTTTTCTGTTACAAACAGAACCTCTGCTGCCACGAATGTAAAACCAACAAAACTGTTCACATGTCTGGGGATGCTTGCCACTGCTGGGGTGGCTGACCACCTCAGTCAGCGATGGGCCTCATTCTGGTCACTGCATTAAGTGCCCCTTGGTGGCTCTGACAGTAACAGAGGGTCTTACATAGGGCTGGCCCAAGCTGTCCACACCTGGAGGGAACGTGTATGGACCGGTAGCCCCTTCGTTATCACGAGCACCATGGCTTCTGCCCCATCCCGGTTGTCCTTAAAGGGGCCCACACTGAGATACTGCCAGGGGCATGGCACAGCTAGCTCCCAGGAGAGAGGCAGCTCTCCTCAGGACCCAGGACAGCGCACATGACGAGAAAAGCTTATCACAGATCTGTGGACTTAGAGGCAGATGCAAACCCAGTAGCACTGAACTCTGATTCCAGGAAGGTGGACGAGAGAGACGGCAGACACTGACACAGAAACACGCTCCGAGCAGAACTCTGCCCACAGCCCTTTCCTGCCCTCTCCAAAGAGCCGTTGAGGAATGGGTTGGAGCCTCAGGGCAATCTTGCACTCTTTATAAACGGCTGAGAAAACCCTGGGCTGGTTCTGGCCCTGGGGGCTGCCCTCCAAGCTAGGGAAAAGCTGAAGGATCAGAAACTGGAGACCAACACAACCACACATCTTCCAAACATCCGTCACCAAATGCATGTCACCACGAACAGCTGACGGTGACAACACTGCAGATGACTACCAAGAACTGGGTGGGTTTGACACGACACATTCACGCAGGCCACCAAAGAGGGACAGCATAGTGACCCTCACAGCAGATGCTGAAGACCCCCCACCTCATGGCTGCTGACCCCATCCACAGCCCCTCTCTGTCACATAGGCTGAGCGGTCCTGTCTCTATGTAAGGGGTCCTTCCTGCCCAGCACCCACCTTAAACCAGTCTGCATACGGTGGGAACACAGTGGGGCCCTCCAGCGCAGCCTGGCGCACAATCAGGAAGGCGGGAACCAAGCTCTCCAGGTCGAAGCTCTCAAATGCATGAGCCACCAGGCGGGCTACCCAGTCTGGGAAAAGAAATGGGGTCAGACAAGTTGATGGTTCAATGGGGGAAAAAGCCACAGATTCGTGAAGTCAGTGAGTCCAAACACCACTTTCTGAGACTAGACATAAGAGTGGTCCATTAGAGACCCCCATGGGGACTGGCTACCACGTGGACAAAACTGGGACTATGATGGCGACTGGCAGCCACATGGAAAGACGAGGCCGTGTTAGAGACTGGTGGCCACGTGGACAAAGCCAGGACTGTGACAAGGACTGGTCCATCTGTACGGTTGGGGACAAGATGACCGAGAGGACTCGGTGATGAGCACATACAGCTGGACCTCAGCAGCCGACTGGACGGGCTTTTCCACTCATCACAAGAGCTTCTGAAACAGCAGCAGTGACGATGCTTCCGCACACCGCTGCCCATGACTGCTCTCAGGCACCAGTTAGTAAGTCACAGAAGCAGGTATTTGGTCACAGTGGTACACAGATTACACACACACTGCACACCACACACCTCCAATCAGCCTCTGTGCGTCCGGGAGGCAGACGGCCAGGGTGGATACACAGGAAAGCACGTGCCGCCAGTTGACCTCGTGCAGGTCCAGAACCTCCTGCAAGCTGCTGAGGAGCTCCTCAGGACTCAGCACCACAAAGAGCTGGAACAAGAGCAGCTGCTGCCTTACAGCCTCGTTTCCTGCCCCTCCAGCCCCCTCAACATCTCATCTCCTACCACCCCTACCGTCCGAAACACTTCATCTTCCGCTACCCCCGTGCTGCCCCACACCCATCAGAAAGGCTCTGAGGCTCCAGGCACAGGACACTTCAGCTTCCCTCGTGCACATCAGCTGCCGACAAGGGCACGGTGCCTGCGGACCTGAAGCTGCACAGACGCTCGTGGAAGCACGGGCAACACAGGAACACACACCCTACGGTACAGGCTGGTGAGGAGCGAGGGGGTCTTCGCAAAGCTCCACTGTCTCTGCATCTGGACGGCATCGGACACTGCTCGAGAGAACACTCAAGTCAGCATACTCATCAGCATCCGTCTGGACCCAATATCAAACACTCCCTTGTCGCCATCAGTTTACTAAGCAGGGAGTTGGACGACTTTCTGTCTGGACTGGTCTGTCTTTTTGCCCCAGTCACCTACTGGAACCTAAGCGTTTTCTGCCATTTGTACAAGTTACTTATGTAAAAAAAATATAGCGATCCCTTGTCCAGGGTGTCAGGCACGTTACCCCTAACCCTAATTCTGCTACACTGACGCTTTTAATAGTCAACACTCAGCGCTGTCCAAAGACCCGGCCAGACAGGCGGTGGACACTGGGAACCTGTCAAGGGTGTTGCTGCGCACACACCTGTTGTTTTGCTCAAAAACTGACCCCATGTGAACTACGACCCGGGTGACCTATGCCTGGGTGCACTGCAGCTGTGTCTACAAAGGGAAACCTAAGACAAGCCAGAGTCCCACAGCTCCCACTCGGAGCCCATTCAAGAAGATGCCGCAGATGCACAAGAAGCTGTTGCGGACACAACGGTCCAGTGACTCAGATGTGCATCCACAGTGGGGCTGTGTCCCTAACCCTATGTTTAAGAAGCCACCAGTGACGCTTTATTTATGTTGGTGGAGGGTCAGGAGACAATGCGTCTCTCGACTCATATCTTTGATCTACATCTCAGAGCCAGTCACTTCTAAGATGGGAGGGTCTTGCCTCATCATCCCACGCACAGGGAGTGCAATGGGACCTACCCACTGGGGAGTGGGACCCAGGTCTGCAGCACATAGCCTAGGAGAATATCACCAAGTGTCACCATGCCCCTGGGGCTGGCACCCACCTTTCAGCACAGGATTATGGGTGAGTATCTGCATCAGGGTGTGGGTAAGAAACCTCTTCGGAGCCTCTGTTGTAATAGCATCGTAGTACATGTGTCCACTAAACATGCTGAGCCTGCAAATGTGGGAGGAGGACCAGCACTGACAGGACCTGTCCCAACACAGAGGACGTGTCCCCACATAGCGCAGACCATCCAGCACTTCCAACCACCAGCAGCCTGTGGCCACTCACCAGCAACGCGCAGGCCCGGGCACCTCGGAAGCCTCCTGCTCACCAGCATCCAGAGCCTCGAGGGCAGCTGGGGACAGAAAACAGACGTCAGCTCCAAGGCCCTAGGATCTCTCTGCAGTGCTGAGAGGCTCCACAGCGGCGCTTGAGAAGTGCCTCTAGTTCCTGCCGACAACACACAACCTTCAGACACTGTTGGCGACAGCCTGGGCAGACTGGGTCAAACTGTACAAGAACCCCAGCAGACGGTGTGCTATGCATGGTCAGCCCTGACCAGGCACACACGGACAGGGACTCTAGAAGTCTGGGGGCCACTCCCAGAGATATGATTCCATGTGGCTTCTGCTGTCAGACACACAGAAATCTTTCCTAAAATAAAACTAAAACACATGCCAACTTAATCTTGTTAAAATGAAAGTTGACAGTTTCAATTTAACAAACAAGATTAATTTTCAAGAAAAAATGTGCGATGTGGCACTGCAGGATTGACCACTAGGTCAGTTTAAACCTTGTGGTTGGGGGTTCAAACCCAATAGCTGCTCCTCGAAACCCTATATATGGTAGCTGAGATGGAACCGATTTGATGGCATTTAACAACAATTTGCTCATCTAAAAAGCAGATGTTCCCTTAAAAACTACAGGCAGGAAGCAGTATCGAAGGTTCCCTCCTATAATTACTAACAGCAGGACTGTGCTTCAAGGCCTCAGGTATGGAACCATGAGGTACTTCCGGATTCAGCCCAGGTGACCTGGCCTCAGTCAGGAGCTAAAGCCAAAATGGAGCACCGAGGTGAGTTCACCTAACGACCACCAAGAAGTGACCCAGCACAGGGATGCTGCAAGGAGGTGGTCACAGAAATGCTGGCCCGCCACTAGCAGGTAGAGCCCACCCTGAGCACAGCGGCAGACACTCACTGTTCAGCAGGCTCTGCAGGACAGCAGCGGCAACCTGTGAGGACACAGAGGGGTCAGGAGCTGGCCCTGCTGGGCTCCGGCCAGGATTCATGGGCAGAGGGCATGCGGAGATCAGAGTAGTACCCCAGCAGGTCTCCCCAGTACTGGGTGTAAAGTCTGCAAGGGCCCCGGTCCTCACCCGCCCTCTCCCATACCTGGGGCAGCTTTTCCTGCTCCGCATTTCTTCTCAAATCTGAGCTTTCCTGAAATCCACTCATAAGAAACATCCGCACAAAATCTGCATATGACAAAACAAGTCTTTACCTATGATGGTTTCCACACAGCCTCTGTGAGCCACACAGAACCCACCACCACCACCCACCCCCACCACAGAGGGTGAGTGGTCCGCACACAGGGAGGGGGCTGCGGCAGGACCCGCAGAGCTGCACACACCTAGGCCTGACATACGCAAGGCTACCTCTGGCCACCTAGTATCTGACCAGACAGACCTTCTTCCTGACATTCCATTTGAAAGAGAAACACACAAAATTCAAGTTTCTCTTTAGAATTACACCCCCCCCCCAAAAAAAAACATACAAAATGCTATCCATTTCCAAAGGGCTGTCCTGGGGAACACTGCCCAGCAATCTCCTACTCCTAAAACCACTGATGTTTCTACAGAGACAGGGAACCCCATTCTGGGGAAGATTACAATCACATTGATTCAAAGGAAATCAGACTTTTTGCCAAATCTTCAATTAATCAAAATAGCAAACTGCTGAACTTTTCTAGTTGATTTTGCTATCTCACTCTCTTTTGCTTTTAGTTGTTGTTGTTTTTTTAATCCTAAAAGAGGGGACGTTTAAGCCATCTGGAGGCAGGTTACGGGAACATCAAGAATCAGAAGCAGTTACCACTACCAAGATTTTAGGAAAAATAGTTTTGAAAAACAGGCCACAGGGAACCCTTGTCATGGTACCGAATCCCTGCCGAAGTTTCACTGGTTTGCACAATTTCTGTCCAAGCAGGGAGAGCAGAGGGGGCTGGGCCACTCTAGGGCAAAAGTGTCCAGCACTCACCAGATTCACCAGTCATCATGCCACCCCCTGCCCCCAACATAGCCCACCAGGACCTGCACAAGCAGACCTACTCGGCCGTGGGCAGTCTGGCCTGCCACCCATAACTCACCAGCAAGTACAGCCTTGGCAATATCGGCGGATGGGCTTGGTGCTTCTACCTGCTCACACAGAAGACCCAGGCTTCTGCACAGCCAGACTACCAGAGCCTGCATGTCCGAGTGCCTGGGGGACACACAGCACGTCACTGGTACATCGCTTCATCCTCACCTCACAACACATGGCCCTGTTGGGTATGGATCCTACACACTGGCTGCTGCCTAAGACCTCTGTCCACAACTCAAGCCCAAAGGACTCCCCACAGGGCCGGAAGCCAAGGGGGACACTTGTGAAGGGGGGAACGGGCCAACAGTCTACCAAGTGCCCCTTCCCTTCTCATGACCCCTCCTCCCCCCACAGCCTGCTTCCATCCCTCAGAGCACATAGCTGGCCCAAAGCCACTGTTGAAAAGATAAGGCTTTCCCCATTGTCTTGGTGCTCTTGTTAAAATTAACTGTCCATAAATGGGTAGTTTTATTTCTCTGCACTCTCAATTTGATTCCATTAATTTATATGCTTCTTCTTATGCCAGTATCAGTCTTGATTACTGTAGCTCTGTAATAAAGATTAAAACTTAGCAAGTGAAGTCCTTCTTTTCAAGACTGTCCTAGCTATTCTGAGTCCCTTGCATGTCCATAGCAGTTTTAGGGTTAGCTTGTCAATGCCTGCAAGACAGCCACCTAGTATTTTAATAAGGGTTACATGGATTTGTAGATAAATTTGGAGAGTGTTACCATCTTAAAATATTATATTTTCACTTACAACACACCCACAGAAATGTCATGCATAGCACAGGCAGGAAACGATTGTGCTGTATGACACATGCTTTATTTGCATAAAAAATATAAGAAATCTTCCAATCCATGAACATAGGATGTCTTTCCACTTATTGGCCTATTTTAAGATGTTTCAATTATGTTTCTAATTTTTGTGTACAATTCTTGCATTTCTTTAGTTACATTTATTCCTAAATTTATTCTTTTTTGACACTTTAAAAAAGTTCTCTTTATTTCAATTTGGATTGTTCATGGCTAGTATACAGAAATACAGCTGAGTTCTGTATATTTATCCTGTATCTTAAGAGAACACGGTGGCTCTATGCGATAAGCACTGTGCGGTGAACCATAAGGTTGGTGGTTTCAGTCCACCAGGCATGCCAAGGGAGAAAGATGAGGCTTTCTATTCCCACATAGATAAACAACCTTGGAAACCCTCTACAGGGTCGCTATGAGTTGGAACCTACTCCACGGCATTTAATGACATCTCCTATCTTGAAACCGTGCTGAACTCTTCATTTTCTTGCCCAAATGCCTTGGCTGAAACCTCCAGTATAATGTTGACTAGACGTGCGTAAATGAGCATCTTTGTTTGGTTACCAATCTTAGAAGGAAGCTTCCAGCCTTTTACTATTAAATATGAAATGAGTTGCAGCTATCTTACAGACACCTTTATCAGACTGAGGAGTTACGTTCTACTCCTAGTTTGTTGGTCTGTTTTTACCAAGAAAGGGTGTTGGGCTCTGTCACACGCTTTTTCTGAGTCTGTTGAGCTAATGGAGAGCTTCTTGTCCTTTTTCCTATTGCAGTAAACTCTGTGAAAGCCAGAGCCCACATAAGGCGGAAAATGCAAAACAGGAACAAGTGCTGGAGTGAGCACCCTCTCACGGGCTGAAAACTCATGAGATCTGGAAAGGCGAGTCAGTCCCGAGGTCTGGTTCTCACTGTCATGACGTAATGCACGAACTGGCTTCCAGAGGTTAGACCAACCTTACATTCCTGGACTGAGTCTCACTTGATCTTGGGGTATAACCCTTTTTCTGGTTCATTTTGCTAATATTTCATTAGAATTTTTGCTTCTATGGTTATGAAGGGTATGGTCTATAGATTTTCTTCTTGTGCTAATTCTGCCTGGCTTAGTATTGGGGTGTTGGTGGCCTCATGAAACAAGTTGGGAAGAGTGCCCTTCTCTATTTTCTGAAAGAATTTATGATGAAATGGCATTATAACTTCTTTAAACATTCGATAGAACTTACTAGAGAAGCCATAATTGTTCTAGGATTTTCTTTGTGGGAAGAATTTAAATTAATTCAACTTTTAAATTTATTATAGGTCTATTCAGATTTTCTTAAGTCACTTCAGGAATTAGCATCTTTCTGAAAATTTTTCCATTTCATCTGTTTTCTAATACAGTGGCATAAAGTTGCTCATGGTATTTCATTATAATCTTTTAAAACTTCTCTTAAGTGATGTCATTTCCTTCATTCCTAACTTTAGTCATTTGTGTCTTTTTTTTCTTATGGTCACGCTGGTAAAAAGTTTGTCAATTACATTGAAATTTTCAAAAACACAATTTTTGGTTCCATGATTTTCTCTATTGTCAGTTTTTGTCCTACTCTGGTGGCTTGTGTGTTGCTATGATGCTCAAAGGTATGACACCGGTATTTCAAATACCATCAGGGTCACCATGGTGGACAGGGGTCAGCAGAGCTTCCAGACTAAGAGGGACTAGGAAGGACTTGGCCGTCTACTTGAGAAAATTCTGGCCAGTTGAACACTGTCTGATACAGTGCTGGAAGATGAGCCCCTAAGGATGAAAGACACTCATCATACAACTAGGGAAGAGCTGCCTCCTCAAACTACAGTTGACCTTCATGTCGTGGACGGAGTGAAGTTTTAAAGACCTTCATTTGCTGATGTGACACAACTTGAAATAAGAAACAGCTGTAAACACCCATTAGTAACTGGAACCTGGATTGTATGAAATAAGAATCAAAGGGAATTCAAAGTTGTCAAAATGAAATGGAACACATGAAGACTCAGGCAATGATGAGCTGACATGGACTGGCAATGGTTATTTTGAATCAGAAAATCATATGGTGTACTATACTAGGTATGGCAAATTGAAGAACATCATCGCATTCAATGTCAAAAAGAGTATCTCAATATCTATCCTGAAGTCTAACGCTATCAGTGAGTGACAGGATATATCCGTATGTTACAAAGAATATCAGTTAGTGTGACTGTAAATCAAATGTACAAACCAACCACTAATGCCAGTAAAGTCATTGACACTGTTTACCAACTTCTGTAACCTGAAATTGATCAAACACGCAATCAAGATGCATTAATAATTACTGGTGATTGGAATGACAAAGTTGGAAACAAAGAAGGATCACTAGTTGGAAAACATGGAGATACAAATGACAGTGGAGAATGCATGACAGAATTCTGCAAGACCAATAATTTATTCATTGTAAATACCTTTTTTTAATAACAAAAATAGTGACTATACGCTTGGACCTCGCTGGATGGAATACACAGGAATCAAGTCAACTACATCTGTGGGAACAGATGACGGAGAAGACCAAGGGGCCACTAAACAACAGTCCATCAACTGCTCATATGAAAGTTCAAGTTGAAGCTGAAGACAATCAAGACAAGTCCACGAGAGCCCCAGTACCATCTTGAGTATATCCCATCTGTTTTCAGATACCATCTCAGAAGTAGATTTGATACACTGAGCACTGAAGACCAGAAGAGTTGTGGGATGACACCAAGGGCATCACGTACGAAGAAAGCAAAAGGTTATTAAAAAGACAGGAAAGACCAAGACTGAAATGAAACTCACAGGGAATACACAGGCATGTAAGCTCGTTGGCGACCGCACTGGTTTGTATGAGTGGAAGTGAGGGAAACTTAGTAGGGAAGATATGGGCTGAAAACAAACCAGGGGGAATGGAAGCAAACACTGTGGAATGATGATGCACGGAGGGGACAGTAATCATTGCAATGAAACAAAATACGACAGGATGAGTGCAAAAACGATGTTCTTACATGTAAACTATCACTCAATTCACAATTATAGCTTTAAAAAAAAATAAAGACAGGAAAGAAAGAAGACACCAAAAAGAGAGTCTGAAAGTTGCTCTTGGACATAGAGTAGCTAAAGTGAATGGAAAAAATGATGAAGTAAAATCTGACAGAAGATTTCAAAGGGGAGTTTCAGAGACAAAGCATTATAATTATAAAACATGCAAAGACCTGGATTTAGAAAACCTAAATCACTTCTCAAGCTGAAAGAACTGAAAATTAAAAAATCTACCCCTGGAGCTACAATATTAAAGAAGACCATAGACAAAATATCAAACGACACAGGAATCATCAAAAGGAGACGGAATGAAAGATATAAAGACTTACTGGTCGCAAAGAGACTAAAGGCACTCTGAGACTATTGCGATTGGTGGTGGCCGTGTGCCGTGAAGTCGGTTCCGACACACAGCGACCCTGTACAGGGTTTCCGTGGCTGTAAATCTTTACGGGAGCAGACGCCTCATCTTTCTCCCGCGGAACAGCTGATAGTTTCGAACTGCAGTTCACAGCCCAATTCATAACCACTACGTTACCAGAGCTCCTTTAGAAAACCTTTAATCTTGAAATTCAAGACATTCCTGGAAGCCACCTTCTAGACAAGTAATAGGAATTGACAGACTACCAATTGAGATGTTTCAGCAAGCAGATGCAACACTGGAAATGCTCACTCATTTATGCCAAAAAATCTGGACGACCACTACCTGGCCAACCGACTAGAAGAGAGAACCATTAGGCCTCATTCCAAAGAAAGGAAATCCAACAGAATATGGACATTTTCAAACAACAGAATTAATATCACACACAAATAAGCCTTCAATAAGGATTATACATCAATAAAGAAAACAGAAATCTTCACACCTAGATCAATAAGTAACATCATGATAAATGAGAAATATTTAAGTTGTCAAGGATGTAATTTTACTGGAATTCACAATCAATGCCCATGAAAGCCATCGGTCAGGAAACCAACCGATACCGCACTGGACAATTCTGCACACTGAGGACTGAGGTGTGTCTGACAAGCTACAGTATTTTTAATCACCTCATATACAAGTGAAAATTGGACAATGAATTAGGACGACCGGAGAAGAATTGAAGTCTTTTGAATTCTAGTGTTGATGAAGAAAATTGTAGCATGGACAGCCAAAAGAACAAAGAAATCTGTCTTAGAAGAAGTCAAATGTTCCATAGAAGCCAGGATGGTGACACTTCATCGCTCATACTCCAGACATGTCATCAGGAAGGGCCAGTCCTGGAGAAGGATGTCATGCTTGGTAAGGAGAGGGTCAGTGAAAACGAGGAAGACCCTCATCAAGATGAACTGACCGTGGCTGCAATAATGAGTTCAAGTACAGCAGTAAAAGTGAGGCTGCTCTGGGGCTGCAGTGTTTTGTTCTGTTCTCCGCAGGGCCACTAGGAATTAGAACCGACTGGGCAGAACCTAGCAACCAAACTGCTTTTATCTTCTTAATTTCACTCATTGCTATTCTAATGTTTACTATTTCCTTCCTTGTTTTTGGTTTCATTTGCACTTCTTTTTCTAGTTTTTAAAGTAGAAGCATAGATTAATTTGAGATCAACCTTCACGTCCTTCATTTCTAAATTAGGCTTCTGTAGCTATAAAATTCCGTTAGCTACACTCCATAAACTTCGATGCGTTGTATTTTCCTTGGACCCAATGCCAACACTCATGAAAGCAGCAGTCAAGAAATCAAACAACGCATTGCGTTAGGTAGATCTGCTGCACAAAGACCTCTGAAAGTATTCAAAAGCAATGTCAGTTTGAGGAGTAAGGTGCACCTAAGCCCAAGGCCTGAATGAGGAAGACAGCAGAAGAATCGATGCATTTGGGTCATGGTGTTGAACAATATTAAAAGTACCATGCACTGCTAGAAGAAACAAATCTGTCTTGGAAGAAGTACAGTCAGGAAGCTCCTTCAAAGCCAGGATGGTGAGGCTTCATCTCTCAGACTTCAGACATACTATCAGGAGAGACCATATGGATGCGAAAGCTGGACAGTGAATAAGGAGGATCGTAGAAGAATTGATGCCTTTGAGTTGTGGTGTTGGAGGAGAATACTGAAAGTGCCATGGACTGCCAAAAGAACCATTAGATCTGTTTTGGAAGAAGTGCAGCCAGAGTGCTCCTTGGAGGCCAGGATGGCTAAGCTTCGTCTCTCCTACTTTGGACATATTGTCTGGAGGAAACAATCGTTGGAGAAGGATGTCATGCTGGGTAGGGTGGAGGGTCAGAGAAGAAGAGGAAGACCCCCAACGAGATGGATCAGCCAGGTGGCATCATTGATGGACTCAGGTGTGGCGGCGGTAGTGAGGTTGGCCCAGGATCGAACATTGTTTCGTTCTGCTGTGTATGGGGTCGCTATGAGTCGGTTCCGACTTGAATGCACCTGACAACAACAACAACAACATCAGAAGGGACCAGTCCTAGGAGAATGACATTGTACTAGGTAAAGTGGAGGGTCAGTGAAGAATAGGAAAACTCTCGACAAGATGGATTTTGGAACAGTGGCTACAGCAATGGGCTCAGGTGTAACACCAACTGCGCGGTTGTCACAGGACCCGGAAGTATTTCATTCTGTTGTGCATAAGGTTACTATGAATCGAAACTAATTCAACAGCATCTAACAGCAACATTTTCCATTGATTCAGCTCGAAATATTTTACAATCTCTCTTGTAATTTCTTCTGTGATCAACTCATCATTTGGAAGCGTATTGCTTAATTTTCACATTTATGAATTTCCAAAATTTCATTTTGTTGGTTTCTAACTCAATTTCTTTGAGTCTAGAGAATGTATTCTGCCTTATTTCAATCATTTAAAATGTACTGAGGCTTGTTTCATGGCCTGGTTATGTTTCACCCCAGAGACTGTGCATAACAAGTTAGACTCAGCTGCAGATGTCAGTAAGTTGGTTTATAGTGTTGGTCAATCTACGATACCCTTGCTGATCTTTGGTCTGGTTTTGTAACCAGCATTGATTGCAGGGTACTGAATGTTGTTAAAAACTTACTGATCTTCCTTCGTATCTTCTGAGTTTTGTCATATATAGGCCTTCCCACTTCAAGATTATAAAGATTCCTCTGTTATTTCTTTCCCCTTGAATTCTCTGATTCATCCAGAATCTAAGTATTGGACGTGGAGGAGAAAATGCTCCTGGTTTGGCACTGTGAGTTAAGGCGCTGGGCTGCAAAGTCGGTTTGAACCACGGGGTCGGCAGTTCAGATTCACTAGCTGCTCCTCATAAACCCTATACACGGTCACTATGGGTTGGAACTGACTTGAAGGCACTTAACAACAACAAGCAAGAGTTGGGGACCTAGGGGGTCCAAATATGTCTTCAATATGTTTTCAATCAGTTCTTCTTATCTTACTCACTCTCCCTTCCATCCCCACATCCAGAACCTGGTACCCTATCAGTTCTTGAGCATCTTAGGAATAGAGAATAAATTGAGTTGTTTCTAAGACAGGCGTCCTAGTGTGGCGTGGTAGGGTAAGAACTGGACTGCGAACCACAAGGCTGGTCACTCTATCAGGGTCGCTGTGAACTGAAACCACCTCAACAGCACCTAACAATATCAACATTCAGACAAGTCTTTCTCAAGTTTGTAAGTCATGGGCCACTGGTCTTACTGCGTCCAAAATTGTATTTTTGTTTATCTCTTCTATAGTCTTCCATTTTTACGGGACTATGCTTTTTCATAACATCCCTTTTAGGAGGGAATAAAAGGAATCATATGTTTTCTATCAACCCTATTTAACTGGATGTCTCTTCAGCAATTTAAAATATGATCACACAATGTCCACATACGATCGCCAGAAACGGTCTCTTTAAATAATAAAGCAATAGGGTTTTTAAGGTGATTGTTGACTTTGATGTATAAATAATTCACATGGGACAGGCCATGGGTTATTTCAGTAATGCTCCACTTCCAGTAGGGTCGCAGTCAGAACTGACTCAATAACCCTTAACAAGAACAAAATGACGAGTGATACGCTACCTTTCCAAGAGCTCTTGTAGGCTCACGATATTTTGTATATGAAGTTGCCAAACAGCTTCAAGCACCAAAGAATTCTAAAGAAAATAACAGTATTATCAGTCCTTTACGTGCACATTTTCCTAACCAATGTTCGGCCTGGGTTGTTAACCACCATGCTGTATTGAAAATAAACTGGAGTAACAAAGCACGTGTGAACTATGTTGTATCCCTGATGGTTTTCAAATTCACCATGCATCAGACACCTCTTAACACCTTTCCTTTGGCTCTCCTTCTCTCCGTGCAGGCCCTGTAGGCCTCTGCTCCCTGTCCAGCCCTGCTTTCTACAGTGGCCAACACAATACTTACAACCATGAGGCCAAGTCAGTCTGTTCTCTTCAGAATCCTTCCACGGCTCCTCACCACTTTCAGGATGAAGTTCAAAGTCTTCAGCAGCTGCTCACAACCCTTTGTGACCTGGCCTCTGTCTCTTTTCAGTTTTATCCTGCCTCCTGTGATATCAACACGCCCGCTGCCCAATGCTACAACCGCTCTGCTGCATCCCTGTGTGTTAGAACCAGCTGCTCCCTGCTTGAGGTGCCCTCGCTGCGCTTTCAGCTCACCTCTCCTCTCCCTTCCGTCAGAGCCACTCCCAGCTCCTGCGGCCTTTCCTAACCACTCAGTCTGACGGAGTGTCGGCTCTTCGGTTGCGCTTTCCCTCAACAGATCTTAAGCAGTGAGGGCAGGGACTACGCCGATGCCTGACAGTCCAAACGAGTTCTATGGTGTGTGCGTTATACAAGTGTTGGGGAACCAACCCTACATGGGGAGCTCCTCTTTCCTTGTCCTATATATGTGCAGAACTTATTCAGGATCACAGCATAGTTACTTTGAGTTCTTCCAACCTTCCCAAAACTCTGTAAACCTACTGAGTCCAACATTTTTCCAAGAAGAGCAGACAGATAAGTATCATTTTTAAACGATCTTTCCTTGCTTACTAGAGTACAGTCAGAGACATTTACCTGCACTTTCCACAATTCCTGACAGAAGGAGAGGCGGCAGAACATCCTGTTTGCCAGTAAATACTGAACAATCTCCATCAGGGAAGACAATTTCTCCTGAAAACAGAAATTTAAAAAAAAAGTTTCTAAAAGTAAGACATTATGTAGGATAATAGTAAAGCAATGTCCTGTTTTTCTAACTAAGTTCATTGTTTGATGAGCACCTGCGTCCCCCCCACTCCCACCCCCCATGTGCTGACAGCTTGCTTACCTTTTGCTGTGAGTTGAGCAGCACAGTGGGACTGGATGGTCCCGTGGCCTCACATATGTCTCCAATGCCAGAGGCAGCCATCTTGGCTGACAAGATTCCTGTCGGAACCCCCAGTCTCAAAGCTTGATCCTGCAAAGCAGAGGCTGAAAGACAAAACCAAACTATTATCTTTCTATTAAAACATGACAATACATACTACAAGATTTAAAACAGGACTAGCTGCTAAAAATGCCTTATTCTAAGTAGCTGTTGTTGATAAGTGTTGTCAAATTGGTTCCAACTCTTGGAGATCCTGTACAGGGTGTTCGAGGAGCGGCTGGTAGGTTTGAACTGCCCACCTTGTGGTCAGCAGTCTAGTGCTTATCCTAAAGCGCCACACCAGGACTCCTATCTGTAAATAAATAGTGTCATTGTCATTAAGTGCCATCAAGTCAGTTCTGACTCATGGTGACCCTGTATAGGGTTTCCGAGGAGTGGCTGGTGGGTTTGAACCACTGTCTTTGCGATTAGCAGTCCAGGGCTTATCCTACAGAGCCACACCAGGACTCCATATTGTAAGTAAGTAGCAATGTCATAGAATATAGCCTCTTGAAGGGGAGATGAGTCTGCAGAGAACAGGAGAAAAAGTAAGATACCATTTGAGGCTCAGAGTTGTACACACAAACGTGTGTTTTGTGTGAATAAAATGCAGTTCAGCAGACCTATTACAACTAAGAACTTTACTATCTTTTCTCAGAGAAGGACAATAACAAAAGGACTCTACTCCCTGTTTGTTTAAAGATTTCAGAGCCAGTGGTACCCCCACCTGCACTGACCACACACTGCAGTCTGAGCCCAGCGGAGTACGGGTTTCCTGAAGTCCCACTACCGGCCTGACAGGTGGGCAGCGGAGCAGTCACAGGATGCCCGGTCAGCAGGCTGTCAGATGGAACCAAGAGGGGTCCCACAGGCCACCACCAGCCTCCTGAGTGACCAGTCCCTGGTCTGAGTTCCAGAGAATGAGAAATGCTGGTGGGGCAGGAAAAGAGGTGAGGCCTATTTCATCTGACTTCCAAAATGAATTTTCAACCCCAAAACCACCTCCACCAGTTGGTTCCAGCTCACAGCGACTCAGGGTAGGACTTCCAAAGACGTAACTCTTTACAGGAGCAGAAAGCCCCATCTTTCTCCTGCAGAGCAACTTGGGGGGCTTGAACTGACAACCCTGCAGTTAGCAGTCCAATGTTTATCCCACACTACCACAAGGGCTCCAATTTTCAAAAAGAAAGATGAGAAACTAGTACAAGTACATGCACTTTATCTTCATGGTTTGAAAACATTCACGTGAACCCTGGTGGCACAGTGGTTAAAGCAGCCAGGTGCTAACTGAAAGATTGGTGGTTCAAATCTAGCAGCCGCTACACGTAAGCACGATGAGGCCGTCTGCTCTGTATAGACTTGTAACTGTTTGGGGCAGTCCCACTCTGTCCTACAGGCTGATGTGAGTCAGAATCAACTTGAGGGCAGTGGAGGTTGTTGGTGCTCAAAAAAGAATTTATGGTGGAAAGGCAGAAAACACGGCTAATTTCTAGCCATGTGTTTCTGTGGGAACATTTATTTCTGTTTTTATTTACAAGGCTAACTTTTACCTTTTTAATAGAAGTATGAGATTGGGATACCTAAAAGGGGTTCTAGAACTTACCCAGTGAAATAGGCCTCCTGCAGAGCCTTTGCAGTGTCTAGGACCTTAGGTGGAATCCTGAGCCCTATCAAGAACCTTATGAGACAAGCAAGTTGCTCGCCCAGGAGACATCAAGGCAAGTAGTTGGGTCCCCTCAGAGCAAACCCCCTTCCAAGACTAAGACTCAATGGGAATACACGCTCTGATTGGTGACCACATTCGTCACACCAATAACGGGAAGTGAGGGAAAAACAGCAATGAAGCAGTGAGCTAAGCCCTACAACATTCAATTGTTGTTGTTGTTAAGTGCCATCGAGTCGGGTCCGACCCATAGCGACCCTGTACAGGGTTTCCGAGGGTGTAAATCCTTACGGGAGTA